CTGGGAGGTCGAGCCTGGCCTCGGCGCTCCCGCCTCCCTCCGGAGCCGAGCTCTCAGGTGTGCGCCACGCCCACGTTCTCAGGGGCCCAGGTCACAGCCAGGGGCTGTGCGGTCGCTAAACACGTGAACGTGGAAATTGACTTCTAGCCATTCGGGACAGCACTATTCACGGAGGGCCTGCTGTTTCTCACGGGTATAGCAATAAACGGAGCTAATACTGTCCGTCTCTCTCTGTGTTTTGTTTGTTGTTTTGTTTTGTTTTCGAGACAGGCTTTCTCTGCGTAGCTCTGGTTTTCCTGGCACTCGCTCTGGAGACCAGGCTGGTCTCGAACTCACAGAGATCCGCCTGCCTCTGCCGCCCGAGTGCTGGGATTAAAGGCATGCACCACCAATGCACCACCAATGCCCGGCTCTGGCAGACTTTTCTATGGAGCAGGCCACGAAGTATTCAGAACACTTATTATGTCTAAGGGGAGGAGGTACCTTTGTTCATTCTTCATTCTTTTTTTTTTTTAAAGATGTATTTATTTATTATGTGTACAGTGTTCTGTCTGCATGTGTCTCTGCAGACAAGAAGAGGGCACCAGGTCTCACTACAGATGGTTGTGAGCCACCATGTGGTTGCTGGGAATTGAACTCAGGACCTCTGGAAGAGCAGTCAGTGCTCTTTAACCTCTGAGCCATCTCTCCAGTCCCTGAAGCAGGAATTTTGAAGGACTGTCCTGCCTTATTTTGGCAAAGTTCAGCAATGACTTTCCTGTGTGTCCAGCAGAATATCTGCCAGACTTTTCTGTGGGAATCTCGAAGGACTGTCCTGCCTTGTTTGGGCAAGTTCAGCAGTCACTTTCCTTTGTGTCCTGCATGTCCAGTTTCTAAATCATACTGTCAGCAGTCAAGGCAAGGGCAGTTTCTTGCCCAAATGGCTGGCTTTGCCATATTGAAAGCAAACTCCATATGATGGTTCTTCAATGTCCATCTTCCTTTATTAAGTAGATTTGTGCTGCCAGGAGCAGCTGTGTCTTATTGTCATGAAAATCCCTATGTTAACAAAACATTTTAAATGCCATATCCTGAAGGTCTTTGAAGTGTTTGAAGACCATCTAAAATGTATTCTCTGTATGACCTTGAAAGCATACCTAACATAACTACAAGTTTGGTTGTTATAGATGACTGCTAACCTGCATTTCTTAATTATCCTAAATTGTTTACAATAATAGCTTTCAAGGACTAGAACGTTATCTTACACTTTTAAATGAATTGCATAGGTACAATACCTTACACAAGAGTAGAAACATATATACAGCATAACAAAAATAACTTTAAAATTGTATCAATATACCAAAATCCATACCGATGTAAAACATTTGAGGTTAATAGTAGTCTTTTTATCCTATATTCCTGTATCCCCACTAAATGATGACAAACATTCATAATCCACCAAATAACCAAAAACCACCCACTCCATCCTCTTGGGAATATGGGTGTCATGTTCTCTACTCTGCTTCTTGTTGTCTGAGGGTGATGGCATCTTTAGGGTACCCTGAAAAAATTGAGATAATGATCAAGTCCTGGGAAAACCAGTTGTAACTTTTGTTGTCCAGTCTCAGAGCTGTTCCCATGCAGAGGGACCAGTACATACATCACCTGTCTTGTAGTTTTTTTCTTGGTTCATTTCTTTATGTCATGTCTGTAGCCAGGATTTTCAGGAGGTCTCCCCATCAAACTGAGTCCTGGGAAAACCAGTTGTAACTTTTGTTGTCCAGTCTCAGAGCTGTTGAAGGACAGACAGACCAGTATATATATCACCTGTCATGTACCTTTCTTTGTTTATTTCTTAATGGCTGTAGCCAAAATTTTCAGGAGGTCTCCTCTGACCAAACCTGATTTCTGTTAACCTTGAAGGAATGCACAGCCTTTTGTTTCTTATGGAAACAAAAGTATAGCCTTTCCCCAATGCAGTACATTTTCTGGATTCCATTGTAAGGCTAAGGTGTCCCTCAAGTATCTAGGCTGGTTTAATCCAGCAGTCCCTCTTACAGCCCCATGCCTCTCAGCAGCTGTTGTTTGCTCATCAGCATTCAGAAAACTCAAAAGTCAACACAGTATCACAGACTCCCTTTGTATTCCCATCTCTACATGGCTTTCTCCTATTTTACTCTCTCTTTAAAGACTTTATTATTTTTAAATTTTATTTTTTCCTCTGGCTGTCTGTACCCATTTTCTTAAGCCTATGCACATTTTTAAAAACACTGTAACCTGTTTAGAGTTTTTTTCCAACTGGGCCTGTCTTTACTGTGTGTCTCTAGCCTTTTCTGACCTGTGAACCAAACCTTAAACTCTGGCAGTTAGCTCTACCCCCTTCCTCAGGTCTATTACAGCCAGCCTTAAGACTACAGCCTTGGTTGAGAGCTGCTTTTAACTTAAACCCCTTTAAGCATTCAACTGGGAGCTGCATTCAACTGCCCCAGCTCTGGGATGTTGGTGTCCCTCACTGTGGCAGACATTTTTATTTAGCTTGTTGTTTCTACTTAGCATGCTGGTTCTGCAGAGCCTCTTAAAGGATCCATATCCTTTTCTTCCTCCTTCTCCGCTGCCTCCTCCTCCCAGCTTTCTCAGACCCTATGTGGAAATTTGGACCCTGTGTTGGAACACCAAATGTAACAGGCTTTCTTTTAGGGCCACCAACCAGCTCCTAAATCATGACATGGAGACTTATTATGAATGCTCAGCCTTATGCTTATCCTGCTAGCTCTTATAACTTAATTAACCTGTTTCTCTTCATCTACATTTTTGGCTCAGGGATTTTTACCTTTCTTTCCTTCTGTATGTCCTACTTTCACAGTTTTCCTCCATGTCTGGCTGGTGCCTCCCTTCTTTCTCCCTTCTTCTTTTTTTTCTTCTCCTGAGCCTAGATTCCTCCTACGTATTTTCTCTGCCTACCAGCTGGGCCTAGGGGAAGAAAAGGACACTGTGACAAGGTTGCTTTATCTGCCATGAGATTCTCCTATAGCTCCAGACCACGAAGTATTCAGAACACTTATTATGTCTAAGGGGAGGAGGTACCTTTGTTCATTCTTCATTCTTTTTTTTTTTTAAAGATGTATTTATTTATTATGTGTACAGTGTTCTGTCTGCATGTGTCTCTGCAGACAAGAAGAGGGCACCAGGTCTCACTACAGATGGTTGTGAGCCACCATGTGGTTGCTGGGAATTGAACTCAGGACCTCTGGAAGAGCAGTCAGTGCTCTTTAACCTCTGAGCCATCTCTCCAGTCCCTGAAGCAGGAATTTTGAAGGACTGTCCTGCCTTATTTTGGCAAAGTTCAGCAATGACTTTCCTGTGTGTCCAGCAGAATATCTGCCAGACTTTTCTGTGGGAATCTCGAAGGACTGTCCTGCCTTGTTTGGGCAAGTTCAGCAGTCACTTTCCTTTGTGTCCTGCATGTCCAGTTTCTAAATCATACTGTCAGCAGTCAAGGCAAGGGCAGTTTCTTGCCCAAATGGCTGGCTTTGCCATATTGAAAGCAAACTCCATATGATGGTTCTTCAATGTCCATCTTACTTTATTATGTAGATTTGTGCTGCCAGGAGCAGCTGTGTCTTATTGTCATGAAAATCCCTATGTTAACAAAACATTTTAAATGCCATACCCTGAAGGTCTTTGAAGTGTTTGAAGACCATCTAAAATATATTCTCTGTATGACCTTGAAAGCATACCTAACATAACTACAAGTTTGATTGTTATAGATGACTGCTAACCTGCATTTCTTAATTATCCTAAATTGTTTACAATAATAGCTTTCAAGGACTAGAACGTTATCTTACACTTTTAAATGAATTGCATAGGTACAATACCTTACACAAGAGTAGAAACATATATACAGCATAACAAAAATAACTTTAAAATTGTATCAATATACCAAAATCCATACCGATGTAAAACATTTGAGGTTAATAGTAGTCTTTTTATCCTATATTCCTGTATCCCCACTAAATGATGACAAACATTCATAATCCACCAAATAACCAAAAACCACCCACTCCATCCTCTTGGGAATATGGGTGTCATGTTCTCTAATCTGCTTCTTGTTGTCTGAGGGTGATGGCATCTTTAGGGTACCCTGAGAATATTGAGATAATGATCAAGTCCTGGGAAAACCAGTTGTAACTTTTG